GTCCCACTGTCCCCTCCTGTCTCCCGCAGTCCCGCCCCTTCGGCGTCGCGCTGCTCTTCGGAGGAGTGGATGAGAAGGGCCCCCAGCTGTGAGTGCTGCTCCTGCAATCCTTTGGGAAGATCCAAACCTCCCCTGGGAACTCCCCGCCGGGCGCATTCAGGGATTTTCCCGAAGGGTTCATCCTGCTGTGTGTCTGTCCCGTTATGGATCCCTTCCCTGAGCCCTCCCTGCCTGTTCCCATGGGAAACACCCCTGATCTCCCCCAAATCCTTGTTTTCTGGGTTAAAGCCGTGCTTTCCTGGGAAAGGGGGAAGCGTTCCAGCTCTCCCTGGGCTGAGTTTATTCCTCCCTTTCCCTAAAGGAGGCCGGTAACCCAATCCCTGGGACATTCCTTGGGGTGGTGGCTGTAACCTGAACTCCGGGATTCAAAGGGCCCTGCTGGAGGTGGGAAGGGCTCGGCAGAGCCAGCCCAGCAAGGCTCAGCTCCCAGCAGGAAAAACCAGTTGGATTTACTCAAAAAAATGTGGAGAAAGGGGGAAAATCCAAAGGGAAATTGTTCCCCAGGCAACAAAGGCAGTGTTGGAGTGCCCAGGGGGGTTTGGAGCCTCCATCCCTGGAACTGTCCAGAAAACACCTGGATGTGGCACCTGGGGATGTGGGATTCCAAAATTCCAGGGGCCCCTGGGGCACCATTTGAGATTCCAGAGGCTCCCAGCCTGGAATGGGATGTGGGATTCCAGAATTCCAGGGGCTCCTGGAGCACCACTGGGGTTGCAGAGGCTCCCAGCCTGGAATGGGACGTGTTCTGTGACAATCCCTGTTCTCTGTGTCCAGGACCATCCCAAATCCAGCCCCTGGGGGGGGTCCCAGGTGGCTGCAGGGCCCCCCATTCCCAGTTTTCCTGCCCCTCTCAGGGAGGGCTCCTCCCAGAGCACAGCTTCCCAACCTCCCAGGGGGTACCTCCTTGGGATATAAACCCCTGGGATTCCCTGGGGATGAATCCCAACTGCAGGCACTCCGGGGTGGTGGTGGGAGGGTCCCTGGGATGAATCCCAACTGCAGGTGCTCCGGGAGCTCCAGGGGGGTGGTGGGAGGGTCCCTGGGATGCAGCTGGCCCCGCTGTGCCTGCAGGTTCCACATGGATCCCTCGGGAACGTTCGTGCAGTGCGACGCCAGAGCCATCGGCTCGGCCTCCGAGGGCGCCCAGAGCTCCCTGCAGGAGGTTTATCACAAGGTAAGGAAGGCTCTGGGATTGGGAAGCGCATCCCAGGGATTTGGGGAACCCCAGCACCTCCTGGCATCCCTGAATTCCCTTCCCAGGGAGGATTTAGGAGTGGGGTGAGGAGGAGGAGGTGCCAGAGCCGCTCGGGGCAGGTCATCCCTTGGCAGGGCATCCCATGAGGATCCTGTGGATCCTGAGGATCTTTACAGCCCGGAGCAGAGCTGCTTCCAGCACCTGCTGTGCCTATGGGATAATCCAAGCCTTGGCAGGAAGTTCCTTATAAATAACCCTGAGCTCTGAGCACTGCCATTGGCATCAGGCTCCCTGGGGGGCCAGGCTTGGGAAAACAGGGAATCTTCTGCTGGAATTCCTGCTCGTTTGGGGTATTCAACAGGAACTTCCTGCCCCTCCACGACAGGGAGGGAGGTGGGAATCCAAACCTTAATGAAAAGCACAATTAGTGGGAAGAGCGATTTGTCTGCTAGGATTATTCCAGTCCTGCATTCCCAGGGTTGCCAACCCTTTTCCAAGTGCAAAAGGCTGGGAAAACTCATTTATCCCCTAGAATTATCCTAATTCTTGATGCCCTGGGTTATCAGCCCTTTTCCAAGTGGTGAGTGATGGGTGGGAAGAGTCATTTTTCCACAAGAATTGTCCCAGTTCTGGATTCCCTGATTCCCAACCCTTTTCCATGTGGTGACAGCTGGGAAAACTCACTTCTCCACTGGAATTATCCCAATTCTGGGCTCCCTTCATTCCCAACCCTTTTCCAAGTTTTGATGGCTGGGAAGAGCCATTTATCCCCTGGAATTCTCCTGATTCTGGATTCCCTTGATTCCCACCCCTCTTCCCTGTGGAGATGGCTGGGAAGAGTCATTTATCCACTGGCATTATCCCAGTTCTGGCTCTGGGGCTTCCTGCAGGGATTTGTGGGATTAAACACAGAGGCTTCTTCCAAGAGGGAATTTGGCTTTTTTTGGTGGGAAGTGGGTGCCAAACCCCAGCCCCTCGTGTCCCAGTCCCACCAGTGGGATTTCTGTGCCCAAAGTGCCAGTTTTTAAGCCAAAAAAAAGCAGGATTTCACCATCCCTGGGGATGTCCCTGCCCTGCTGCAGATCCCTGGATAAGCTGCTCCATCCCGGCTGACGGGATTTGGGGAAGGGGAGGGGGGAGAGGGGCCCCATCCCGGGCCGAGGGATCCAGGAGCTGTGTGTTTTCCAGTCCATGACGCTGAAGGAAGCCATCAAATCCTCCCTGGTGATCCTGAAACAGGTCATGGAGGAGAAACTCAACGCCACCAACATCGAGGTGAGTCCTCCTGGAAATGGGAATGTGCCTGGAGCTGGGAAGGGAGCAGCCCAGGGCT